TTTGTAGTTCTTCGAAGCAGTTCGTTTTAACGTTGGGAACCTCTGAATTTGCCCACTTCGATACATCTTCATCATCTCGCATGCCCGAGACTTCGATTACGTCACAAATCCTTTCCTACTTACTTTTCACGTATGCGCATCATCGACTGTCCTTGATTACCTCCTCCCCCTCCTCTGTCTGTGCACTTTCCGATCTGCGAGTTTATCAACTCTTACCGGCAACGAGACAGTCATGGGCCCTGAGCTTGCAATCTGGATCCCTGAAACCATGAGGCAAGCCTGGTTTCGTCCAAGCCTCCTCCAATGCAGTTTTCAATTTGCCGTGCTTGTAAAGTCTCAGCTCTGAGATTGTACAGTCGTGCGATCCGTAGATATTGGACCCGTCAATGTAGCTAGAAACTTGGTTGATTTGTTCTCTGTAACCTGAAAATAAGCTGTTTACTGTATCCAGCCCAAATTACCGCACCTGATTTTAGATCTCCTATAAGAGAACGGACAAACGGGATACATCTGGGTTCACCACTGGAAAGTTCTGGTGGAAAGTATGGGTCGTTTAACGGTATCTTTATTGGCCAGCAGTTGAACGACTCTAAGTAATATGAGTCACAGCTTCGACACTCCAACAACGTCCCATCCGGTGCTAAAATGAACAAGTCTGCAATAGTAATAGGCAAAAGGACTGGTACGTCTTTGAGAACGGCGAGCACTGTAGCACCTGATAGCAAGCAGGGTTAAAGTATGACACAATGACCGTGAAAGCTTGTTTTGAATTACGGAAAAGTTGGCTATACTCTGTTTTGCGCATGGAAAATATATTTAGCGAATGACGCTTTATATCAAACCTGACTGGAGGAACTGGGAATACTCCTCATAATCATAACATAAAAACGAATGCAAAAAATATGCATATTTCTGTCCATCCTTGAAAATCTGGATATAATCCACTGACTGCAGCCTCTTTAAGTGTCTGCGCATCTTCGCTTTCTGAATCAAATCAAAAGTCAGTATTTTTTGAGTCTCGGCATGTCTTGTTTCTGCTGAATGCCCTTTTAGCTGTGTAAAATCTTCTCGAATGCTTCTAGGAGAGACAGTGACATGTAAAAAGTGTCCCTCAACGAGTTGAAGCGGCGGTATGGCAACTGCATGTCAACCAACTGTACATGGGTGCTCTGGCAATAGACAATCAGAAAGAGCTGCACTGAAGAACAAGCAAATAGTAACAACATTACCCACAGAAGAAGAATCACTCAACCGCATCGCGTTAATGAACTGAGAACATAGCAATAACTATGTTCAATAAGTCAGAATAAACATGCGTTTCACCGGGTAGCAAGAGAGAACCTGTCGTCTGACTATAACCAGCACACACTATTTTAGGAGCACTAGGAAACTTTACTTTATTTCTGAGTAACTGGATATCAACGGTCAGCATTGAGTTCACTTGTATTCGCAACAGAGCTCCAATTAGCAGCCCTAATGAAACAGTATCATGATGTAGATAGCTCTGTATAGACGACACAGTCCAGTGAAAATAAAATCTGAAGCATAGAAAAAAAAACTACTCGAGGAAGGGACTTCTCTTGAATACGAAGCAGAAGGAATATATGGCCGGCTCCAAGCAGTTTTAGCTGAGAGAACAGAAGCACTGCTGATGAGCCGGTGGAGATGGACGTCCGTCTCCAAGCTAAACTGTCGGATTAGAGTATCTTGATTTTTCCTTGGAAGGCAACGGAAAAAATTACAGAAAATTTTGCCATTCATCAAGAAACGCTCGTCAGGTATAGAGAGGTCGATGATCAAAGAACGATCATCACATTCTAATAGATTATAGAGAGAACTGTATACATGTACTGATACGAAGCTGAATTTTTGGCTTGTTTTCGGGTACATGAGCAGTAAATATCACAGAAATGGCTATGAATGTGAATCAAATGAATGTGTGACATTGCAACATTTTACAACATGCGACAAACTCCCTGCAGCGTGAATAAACGAAAAGCTTACCGCAAGAAGTCGCCACTGTTTTAGCTTGAAGAAAACAAAACGCTCGAATATGCAGAATCGTTGGTTAAAATATCGATTCGTCAGGAAAGACAAGAAGGGAAATACCAAAAGTGCGGCGTGATATCGTATAAATGATCTGAAGTCGGACGGGG